CTTGTTCGAAAGACATTTGTTCGAAGACACTTGTTCGAAAGACACTTGTTCGAAAAAATAAAATTATATTAAATAATTATTAATTAAACCTAACCTAACCTAACCTAACCCAAACTTACCTAAACTAGCTTATATTAACATAATAAATAATATTTATATCAATTTGTACTAATATAATGTGTTTAAACTAAATTAATATTAATTTTTTCGAACAAATGTTTTTCGAACAAGTGTCTTTCGAACAAGTGTCTTCGAACAAGTGTCTTTCGAACAAGTGTCTTTCGAACAAATGTCTTTCGAACAAGTGTCCGGATCCCGTTGAGCAAGACCCATAAGCGTTCCCTAAATTTAGGGGTAAATTTAGTCCTAAACATTCACCATTATATCTCTAATTACAACCAATCAAGTGCTGGTTTTAGTTTGCAATTTTTAACTCACAAGGTTTGTATTGAATTTAGCACTAATTTAGTAAACACTCATATTTTGTCATATTATTGAGCACTAATCAATGTTTACTTCTTTATACATTTTACATTCATTTTTAAGTGCATTCCATAACAAGTTACTGAAAGTACTATAATTCATGTAATTTATACAAATTATTGAATGCGTGAATGAAATGTACATATTTTGTATTGAATTATTGGAATCATCAAGCTGAATCACTAACAATTCAAACATAATATACTTTGAAGGTTATATTCATTGTTAAATGAATGATATAAACAAATTATAATCAGATATACTTTTCTGTATATAAGAGTTTGCATCGAAATAATTACTAACATTTATCTTCGCTTCAATTGAGTGACAGATTTTTATAAGAGATGTCAACGAAAACATACCAAATCTGTTTCGTGCCGTGCGATGCGTTCGGACACGTGAACGCGTGCTTAGGGTTAGCACAAAGTCTAACACAGTTTGGCCACAAATGTGTGTTTGTAGTGAACCAGACCTGGAAAGACCTCATCGTTGGCCTCGGCTTTGATGTCGAGGTCTATATCGAAGCTCATAAGGAAGGAGTGAATGGCATTGACGTGTGGATCAAATCCATGCGTGAGTCCCGACACTCACTTATACTGTCTTCGTTTGACAAAATCCGTGAGTTTGAAGCCCCGGGTTGGCCCACAATGACTGCCGATGTGAAGACATTCAACACTGACGTCCAGCGTATCATTGATTCAGTCAAACCCGACGCCATAGTCGCCGATAATTTAATCTCTGTTCCAGCGGTTGTATCGGCGGACGTGCCGTGGATTGACTTAATCTCTTGCAATCCTCTGTATTATTGGTCGGACGAACGCTTACCGCCGGGAGGTTCAGGTTAGACATGGTTTAGGCAAATGTCATGAAAACAAGTTAAGAATTTATTCTTCAGGTTATCCAACAAATGGCGACAAAAAATTATGGCAAGAATTTCGTGAAGAGACATACAGTGCATACAGCGATGAATGGCATAGTTTTAACCAATGGTTACAATCAGTGGGTGCGCCCGCACTTCAACACTGCGGCCACTTCTCAAACCCCTCGCCATTCCTCAACTTATATCTCTGTCCACAAGAACTAGACTACAAAGACATCGCACCTAAAGACACAAAACTTTGGCTTAATATCGATTCACTCATTCGTTCAGACATTGAAACGCAAACCAAAACTTTTGAAATACCGGAAGAGTTGCGACAAAAATCCGGAAAACTTATATACCTATCGATGGGAACTTTATGTTGCGTAGAGCTGTCACTCATGAGGCGATTAGTGTCACTGTTGTCGCACTCAAAGCATCGGTTTATTATCTCAAAGGGTCCGTTAGGGGAAGAATACGAATTGGCAGACAATATGTGGGGCCAAAACTCATTACCGCAGTTACAAGTGCTCCGATTGGTTGACTTAGTGCTCACACACGGAGGCAATAATACGGTCACCGAAACCATGCATTTCGGTAAACCACTGATCGTTTTGCCCGTATTTGCCGATCAGTACGACAACGCACAGAGAGTGGTCGAAAAGGGACTCGGCCTACGATTGGACCCATTCTTCTGCAGTCAATCGGAACTCTTTGAAGCAATCGATGAGTTGTTGAATGACTCAAATCTGAGCCAAAGATGTTTAAAGATTTCGGAGAGGATTAGGAAAAGTGAGAGTAAAGCTAAAGCCGTTAAACGCATTGAAGAAGTCATACAAGAATATCAAGAAAAGTCTTAGAATTGTTATACTTTTAAAACTGGTTAAATTATATTAGACTTTATTTTATAAGAAAATTCCCATAAATATAAGAATTAAATATAAAATATATTAATACAAAATAATGTGCTATTTATCTAAAATTACATCATATCAGTCATGAAAAGCCAGAACCAGTTTAGCCTTTTCATTACACTTTACAGATTACACCTGCATCTTATAAACCTGATGTTAAAAAAGTATCAAGTGTGTGAACTTATCAATTGTGTGAACCAAAAGCTGAAATGTATTCACTTCACACAAACTTTACTGTATTCATGTAATTGTAAGGCAATTGTGTGATAACTGGAGCGCCAATAGATGTCATGTTATTATTAGAATTGAAAACCGAATGGCATTTAAGTATTCAATTTAAACCCTATTTAGTAATTACCAGTGATTTGTCGATTGAGAGCTAATGTTAATTGATTTGTCGGATCACTTGATAGACATTTAGTGTACAAACAATTTATAAATGATTAATTAAAAATACACTGTATTAAAATGTCATACATTGAACTGCCAAAAGGAGCATTTCCATATCTGCCTAAGCATGCATTTGGCATTTATAGCTAGGAAACGAAAATACATTTCTTAAGTTGAGTCGTACAATTGATTTGTGCGAATGGCTTGTTTGTAATTCTGTCATATGACGTCATATAACACTTTACATTACAGTTATATGACATATAATGTGTAATATAAAAATTTTATATTACAAAAAGTGTAATATAGCTCTGGCGCCATCTATTGACTAGGCAATTATGATATTGTAATTAACGCTATTATTTTAAAATTTAATTAAAACAATTAAAATAGCTCTAAAAAGTGTGTTTCGATAATCTATTCGCAAAACAAGTGGTGATTGTATTGTTTAGCCATGAAATTTATAATTTAGTCATGTATTGTAAAATTAGCATTATTCAAGCAAAATGTGTATTTTCTATATGACACTATGTGACGTTACACTAAAAATGGGGACATTATACAGGGATGATTTTACATAACCTTCATAGCTGGGCGCTGACATTATCATAACATGTGTGAGTTGCTGAGCAACACAATACAACTTTTGCTGTCTTCAACGGTTTTCAACACAAGTTGTATTGTGTTGCTCAGCAACTCACACATGTTATGATAATGTCAGCCCCAGCTATGAAGGTTATGTAAAATCATTCCTGTATACCATTTATATGGAAGCACATCCCAAAAGATAGATGGCGTTCAAGTGCACACAAGTCCCCGCCCATTCATGGTGGTCCCATTCCTTCCCCTCTATTTTATATTAAGATACTTGACTCATTTAATGTTTATCAATCAGATTAGGACCACCCCTGGGCGCGGTTATCCCTATAACAAGCCTGCGTTGCTTAGCAACACAATACAACATTTGTCTTATACAGAGCGAATCATTGGCATTAATAAATGTTGTATTGTGTTGCTAAGCAACCCATGCTTGTTATGGGATAACCGCGCCCAGGGGTGATCCTAATCTAATTGTCAGGCTATATTTTCATCATTTACATAATATATTTTTACAATAATAATAGTCTATTAAACAATAAATTTAAATTTGTTTTACAATCTATTATTTTTTAAATGGTTATTTCTATTGGTTATAGCAATACACGTGTTATAGTGTACACGCTTTACAAATATATAAATAACGTTTCGACTATAAATAACGTACAAATATAACAATTTTGTTTTTAATTTTCAACTAAATCATATAATTTTAAAATATTTAACTCAAATATATTGACCGGAAATAGACTTTGAATGGTATGACTGGATATAGGGTTGACTATAAGGGACCGGAAGTGTTGCTCGAATAGTGTGAGCGCACTGTAAATGGAAAATGGGGTCAAATATGGCGTTCGATTGCAAGCACTATATGAACGACCCCTCAGTGTATGACTAACTGAATGACCCCTCAATTCAATTCACTTCAAAATGACTTCAATTTTAAAATTGTTTTTGAATTAAAAATGATTTCACTTTTAATTCAATTAACGTTTCGTTTGTTTTGATCGCAAAATAATGAGACGTTTGTGTGGTTTGAATGAAGACATGGAGGAAGAGCTGATCCAACCGACAGACAAACCGACAAACAGTGTGTTATTGTGTCGATTGAGTCCACACTCGACGGCCAAACTGACCCTCAAGAAGACCAACACCTCTTCGGCCAACGGTTCCGACCATTCGGTGGGACAGAAGCGACGATATCTGGTGTCACAGAAGTCGGGAAATGTGTACCAAATTGTGGACAAAAGGGCCGTCGAGTGCGCCGTCTCTGCGCTCAGTGTCGGCCCGACTCGAGTCGAGGCGTCCGAACCCGAGTCAGACCTCATCAGTGATGACCAGTTCTTCAAATACATGGGACTCATTGGACACAACACTCTTCGCACCGCTTCTCAGACACTACTCAACGCCTGGCCCTTAAGACACATCTCACGAGTGGTCAACAAAGACAACCCACCCGTCGATACCAATGTATGTTCGCGTCGTGTGATTGGCTATCAATTGTCGTCATTATCACTACAATTGGTTCCAATACACGATTTGTGTCTTTCATTTCAAACTAAATATACTTTTTCTCATAAATTATATGAAAATTAGCGCCAAATTTGAATTCAAACTCAAACCATGTCTTCAAAGAAACCAATGATTTACTGATTGTTTTATTTGAGAAATTTATTTATTTTGGTTTAGAAATAAATAGTATTGTATTGTTTGACACGAATTTATAATTAAGATATTTATAAATTATAAATTAAATTTTTTGCTATCAATGTTTTACAATAATAACAATCTCTCTCTCTCTCTCTCTCTCTCTCTCTCTATTAATTAAGTTATAATGAACTGTGTGTTGATATTGATAGGGAAGAGTTGGTGGAAGTGCTGGAGTGATGTCTGGAGTGAGTCGTCGGACGGCATCGAAGCAGCAGTGGTTGGAAGAAGTGAGGGATAATAAGTTAGTCCAACACAACGACTGTCGCGGCTCTAAAGGCACCAAAAAGTGTGATAAAGACACTAACAAAGAGTCACTGAACGTGATCTCTGAGTTCGACTTCTCGTCTTTGATGGGGAAACACATGTTTCGCCAATTGTTGTGCGAAAAGTTAAATGAATTGCAGAAATATATGCAAACATTAAGTGTTGAGAACTACTGTTTGTGTGACTTCTCAGTGAAAATGTCTTTAAACGCAAACATTGCCGTCAATTATATGCCGAGAATTACAAGACACGGATCCGATTGGAGTTCGCGACACAAACACCACATCTATTGCTTCAATCGACAGCAGAGGTTAGAGAAATGGCGCCGATTCGAGACGGGACTCAATTGGCGCTCAAGACTCCTGAAAAAGCGCTGCCGACGACTGACCGTTCGGCTCAACCGAATGACCAAATGTCCCATTTGTACAAAAACTATAGATTTTAACCCCAGACACCAGTGCTGGCAATTTGACGCTCATCTTAGACCACAACCACTTCCTAATCAATATTTAGCCAATACTTGTCATTCAAAAGACTCGAGCCATGAAATCATTATCATTGGCGACGACTTTATGGACGAAGAGATGGACCAACAGATTAGTTGCGAACCCATTGTTGACAATATAAACAGTGAAGAAGTGATTAAAGCGAGTGATTCCGACGACGACGATGTGATGATCATAAAGGAAGTGCTGACACCCAAGCCTTCAATCAGTATTAAGTTCTCATCGATGGGCGACGGGGGCCGACACTCACACCCAGTTCTGAACAATCTATTGACGGCTAACCGTAATGTCCGCAAACCATACCCACTCACGGATTGCAATCATTTGCCGACTCTTAGAGAGACCAACATTTCGATTGTATCCAAGAGTTATTCCAACCGAAAGGAGAGCAACGATACAAAAATGGTTTACGGCTCACATTTCTAGACCTAAAATAATTGCTTTAAAATATTTATTCCTTAATTATGAGGGGTTTTGATATCCATTTTAAATACAATGACATAAACGCTAAATAAATGTAATCAAGGGTCAGATGATTATGTTTTTTGTCTATCGTTTACATACGTAAACTGTTAAATAATTTGTAACCATATCTCCAATGCATAAGTCGTATAATTATCTGATAATTATTATAAAGTGCTTTAATTCTTATGAGATATAGATTTTAAGTATTTGCATATTTGTATCGTTTAATTAACATTTAACTAAATATTTAACACTATTATAATTTGCCACAAATTATATAATTGCTTGATTTTTGACTAAATTCAATATTTCAGCATGTTTAGGCTTTATTTTTAATGAATGAAATTTAATTGTATCTATATAAAAAATTATTGTTAACTTATTCGCTTTATTCTTGTTTTGTTTATGAGAAGTTTTCACTGAAAACGTAATTTAAAAATGTAACTTTTCTGCTACTTTACTATAATTGGGCTCTTATTTGAATGTTTTAATCAACTGATTATTGTTTGCAAATACATAAAAGCTATAACTTATATACAATAAATTGTTTGTCAAATTGTGGGACTGGTATGGGATATCGGCGCCCAATTGTCACGTTTTAGTGTGTCTTAAAATTGTTGAAAATAATTTTCATTATTATTTTGATAACTATTTCATAAATAAAGATTCAATTCACGCATCAATTTTGTATTTGTGTTATACATCCATAAGTTTATGTTTTCATTTCTCACGCCTGTATATCCATAGAGTGGGCATCTCTGAGCGAAATGTCCATTAAGTTTGTGATCGACATTAATTGATCTCTCATTTTAACATTTAAATTGTGTTTCTGTCGCTTCAATGGAGCCCTCTTTAAAGTAAACTCTTTGGTTCATACAATGGCTACTCTCTGTCATTGGTATGAATGATATTCTTGAGATAAAACCAGGATTTTGATGGCAATGATTGTGTTTAAGACCCATGTGTTTGAGTGAAACCAATTGTCATTCAATTATTTTGATGATTATTGAAAGGATAATAGAAGATGTGATAAAATACAATCATCCTGTCTTTAATCTAATCTAATTTTCGTTATTTTAAGTCCTTTTTTAATTAGAAAGAGAGAGTGAGTGAGTGAGTGAGTGAGTGAGA